GTATAAATTATAATACTCTAATAAGTTGCTGTATGGGATTTATCAAAAACAAGTTTTACTGACCTCTAATATTTTGACAAAGAGGCGCATTGCCTCTGTGGAAGCCATGCTTCCAAGTTCATTCCAGCTTCAGTGCAAACAAACAAAAAACAATCACTATAACTGATCGGACACAATAATAACGCACACATAAACCATTAAAAGATTAACAGAAGACAAACAGTTAGGTTGATTCATTATAGTGTCTAACCTAACTGATTAATGAAATTTGACATTGAAATTACATTCATCAAAAGCAGAAACAGATTTCCAAGGAACAAACTCTTTGACGGTAGGCATTGGCATTGTGGCGGATATTTCAACCCCTGCTAGTATTTTATCACATATTTAAATTGAGCAAGTTCAACCAACCAGGTCTCTCAACTTAGCATGAGACATACTAGCCTTTATTCAAATACTAGAAACTAGAAAAATATTTGACAAACATATTTCTTAAATGAGACACTATGAGTTTCATCTCTAGCCTGCCCCAACTTGTTTGGGACTAAAAGGCTTTGTTGTTGTTATGATCAATTAAATGAATAAATAAATGCCACAGAATTTGTTCACGACAAACCTTGTCCATTTGCTTTGCTCAACAGGATTCCAACCCCTAGGCTTAGGAATGTTACAAGGCCCTATAGCTGCCTGCGCCCACCAAAAAGACAGTGTAAGTCACAAGTCATACCAAGTGCGAAGTGAAGGATCAGGTGCACTTCTAGATTTAGACATACAAAATTCCAACTTTTCCTCAACGTAGAAGCTAACAATGTGAATCAGAAGCTTGCATTCCATACTTAAAGCCCATGTCAGTTACATTAAAAAAAATTCGGCAACAGTTCACATTAGCTGGAATAACGAAATCGTTGGTATTCCATTTGGCTAACAAAAATCTCTGGAATAGAGACAACACATTGACACAAGAGGAAACAAAGCATGTAGAACTTTTCTTCTAATATTCTCGCCCAATGGCAATGATAAACCTGTCCTTCCAGGATAAATAGAAACCCAACAGAATTTAAAAGATAACTTTTCCTAAATAATTGAACCGCTCAGTATAGATATTTCCAGACAAGTAATCAGTACAAAATTAATATATCATTCTGAAAAATAAATAAGATAAAAAATATACAGTTTCTGATGCTGATGCTATGAGGAACACCGAACAAGCGACTCAGACACCTACTCTAGAAAGTGTAAATCTGTCAATACGAGGAGGAAGGTCAAACTAGGCCCAGATAATCTCGAGTTAGATGATCTAATGAGTTGGCTTGGGTTACATTTTTGTACACTGACTTGCAAGAAAGCAGGAAGCAACATGCCTTCAATGCTCAGTATGGAAACTAGCGTGAATTGAATGAGATACTTCGATCAAGCCAATGTTCCAAAGTAACTGAATATCAAATAATACTTCAGGAATGCTGAAACCGAGACAGAAATGAAGACCTTTGTCGATTTTATAAACCAATATAATACAATGATGTGAAAACAAATCTAGATCTCTCTCAAATTACATATCACCAATATCGGCATGACATATGAGTATTAAGTAAGAGTTTCTGATACATACTATAGAAGAATCCAAAAAAGGGGCTCAACAACGAAAAAGCATGACCATGTAAGGGGATCTGGCAAATTTAGTTAGTCAACTGCGTATCAGATGATTACCCAACTATCCAAGTTCAGATAAAAAACCTGAAATGTAGTGCTCAAGAATCAGTAGATAGAACGAAATTCAACTAATAAGTAAATGGAGAACAGTTTCCTAGCTGCAGGAACAAAGGCGATCAGGATAATACTATGATCAAGCCAATGTTCCAAAGTAACTGACTAACGAATAATACTTCAGGAATGCTGAAACCGAGACAGAAATGAAGACCTTTGTCGATTTTATAAACCAATTTAATACAATGATGTGAAAACATATATTAACTAAGAGTTTTCTGATAAACCTATCTGCATATCGCCATTATAATACAATGATGTGAAAACATATAAACCAATCTAGATCTCTCTGAAATTACATATCGCCATTATCTGCATGACATATATTACCTAAGAGTTTTCTGATACATATATAGTATAGAGAAATCCAAAAAAGGGGATCAACA